CACGCTGAGCTATTTACTGGTGCTCATATTTCTTTTAATGACTGTTCTTCCTCTCCCCTATCAGAACATGAACTTCAGTTTCTGGCCCTTGACTTCTTTAGCCTCAGTTAAATCCCCAATACCCACAACAGTGCTTCATGGTTTCTTTAATAGATGAGTGCTGCCTGGGGACATTTAAGACTTGCATACTCCATATACTGCTGGTCTCTAACCTGCCCCCAAGCACACTCTGACAAGTTTTCACTAAAGCAAACAAAACAAAATCAAACTCCACTCACAGAAAAGATTCTCCCAAAGCTCTGGGGCCTGGAACTGCAAAGCCAAGACGAAGGGACTGACAGCAGGACTCTTGGCTTCCATGCTCTAAGGCCACCACAAAGCCAGGCCATCACCTGCTTCCTGCTTCTCCTAGTGAGATTCCAGAGGCAAGGCTGGGAGGGCCAGACTGTCCACTAGATCTCTTTGGATCCAAATAATCATAGAGCAGAGAATTACTGGGGATGGGGGACTATCAGGCTCAGAAAGCTCATGGAATAGAACTATAGTCTTGTTTAGTTCAGCAAGCAGGAGACCCAATTCCAGAGTACAGAACCCAAAACATGCCTAAGTTCTTCTACCCTCATCTCTCTCACACTCAGGGAAGAGACAGGTTTCAGAGTGGGACTCAGTGCTCTTCCCACTGAAGTAGGATTTAAACCTGGGGTTGCTGAGGACAATATCTGTTACCACAAGCAGAAACCTGTTGGGGAAGAAGCTGCTAACCAGTGGAGAAATGAGAAGACTAAAAACATGATTCGCACTCTGGATGCAGCTATATGCAGTGGGAAGCTATTCCAGCACTGGATTTTCCAGTGATATGAGCCAATTAATCCTCCTGACAATTTTTTTCTTGTGCTGGAGCTTAAAAAGCCCCCCTTTAAACCAATTTGAGCTAAGTTTTTACCACTTATGTTTCTAGTGTCTTGGCTACTTTTTGCTAACAGCACTGTGTGCAAGGCACTGTTGTAAGCACTTTGCACGTATTAACTCAGTCCTCATAACAATTCCATGAAGATATCATTATCATCTTCAGTTTTTCAGCTTAGGAAACTAAGGATTGCACTCAACCTCTATCAGAGCAGAAAATCCAACTCTGACCCAAGGTGCTATCATTTGGAATGGGCAGTGTCCACAGACCCTCTATTAGCCCCAGCTGGCCTCCATTTCATCCTATTAAAATGATGATAACCATAGTTTATCTACCTCGTAGGGTTTCTGGGACTAAGAGTCCACACAAAGCACTTAAATAGTGCCTAGCAAATAGTAAGCATTCAATAAACAGCAGTCACTATTAATATTCCTAACTCTGTGGGTCACTGAAGTTCAGCTGCCAAGTACCACGGCAATGGAAGAGTGCTTTTTTCCTTTATCTCTACCCACAGACAGAAGAGACTATGGGGTGAAAGATGAGGAGGCTTTTCTTGAGCCTTGAGATGTAGTTCAGCTGTTACATATTTGTCTAAAATGCCCCCCCAAGGCCCCAAGTTCTAGCCCCAGCACCCCCAGCATCACTGTTCCAATTCCTATAGAATATTACCTAATCTAAATACCATTATTTTCATGAAGTCTTTCCAAATAAAAGGTTCCCTGACTGCTCAATCTCCACAGCATATTCTCTGTACCTCATACTTTATGGTATATCTGACCAAGCCCTCTACTGGACTATGAGCTACCTGAAGACAGGCCCCAGGGTTTATCCTGGGGTCTGTCTCTGTTCCCTCTTCTTGGCCCTACAGAGAAATAGAATCCCTTGGGAAAAAGTTGAGTCCCATAGAGTTCTGAAACTTTCAGAACAGAGCTCAGGACGGCTCAGAAACAGCACCAAGAAAAGGTCCATGTATAGGAGTATTGAGATAGGCAAGGGGACTAGAGAGTGAAGCAAACAGATGAAAGGGAGGTATGGTGGTGCACCTTTAATTCCAGCATACAGGAGGCAGAGGCAGGCAGATCTCTGTGAGATGGAGGCCAGTCTGGTCTACATAGCAAGTTCCAGGACAGGTGGGGCTACATAGTGAGACCCTGTCTCAAAAAGGAAAAAGAAGTGGGGGAGGAAGGGGTAGGGAAACTTGGAGAGTAGGATCTGAGAAATTTGGAGTTACCCGTTCTCCAACAAAAGCTAGTAATTCCTGGAGGGCAGATTCTATTGGCAAACTTAGAAGATACACCAGAGCTTCCACAGCTTCTAGTCCAGTAAGGGAGAGTGGGTAAGTACAGCAAGAAAGTGAATGGCTCAAAGATGAGCATGGAAGCCCTTGCAGTTCCAACACAGTCAAGACCCCGAGGGCATCTACGTGGACAGGGAAGAAAGAGAATGTGCGAGAGACATGTGTGTTCGAGGAGAGACTGATTTAAAAAAAAAGCACCAGAGGCTCTGGGGTAGTCTAGAAGTGAAGGCAGGAGAAGGTGCTGAGGAAGAGCTGAAAGGGAACCATTCAAAGACAGAAACTGAAGTAATTACTCAGAGGGTGGGGTAACCTTGTGGAGAAGCCAAGATCCTTTCAAAGAGGGTAAGAAGTCTTTCTAGAGGATGAGTACCTCACAAAGTAGACTCCCAGGAAAGTGAGGGTGCGCAGTAAGGTTTGGAGGCACTGTAGGACTCTTTTGGGGGGGGGGGGGGGGGGTGGAGAGAAAGTGGTTCTCCAACTTGAGCATGCATCTGAACCACCAGAAGTATTTGTTAAAAACTCAGATTGCTGGGCTTTGCTCCCAGGTTTGCTGATTCAGGAGGTCTGGGTGGGACCCAAGAATTTGCATTTTCAACAAATGTTGCTACAGGTCTAACCACATTTTGAGAGCCACTGTTACAGGGGAAGGGGTTTCTCTAGTAAGTGGGTCTTCAAAACTGAAAAGAAGAAAGCTTCTGAAAGGAAAACGGACAAGAGTCTTTCAGGAAGTCTTCAAGTGGGTGTTAAGGATCTTTCTATGTCTGAGGGAAGAGAAACCTAAGAGGGTCAGGCCTAAAAAATGATCTGAGGTGTGATAGCTCACATCTTCAGCCTCTGCAGCCTCATCAATCAGGAGGCCGAAGTAGGAGAATCTCTGTGAGACAGAGGCCACCTGGTCTACATAGAGAGTTCCAGGCCAGCTGGGGCTATAGGTAGACCTTGTCTCAAAAACCCAGGGTGGGGGGGGTGTTGGTTCTCTGACCACTGGGGTTTCCGGAGGCTGGGGAGGATTGGAGAAAATGCTGGAGTCTCTTAAGTGATAATGGGGGAAGAGTCTGAGAATCTAGAAGGGTCTCTGATTTCAGAGGAATGAGAATGAGGGAATGACAACAGAGGTCTGGGATAAATCTGACAGAGCTCTGAAATAAGATTTCTTGGGTATATCAGAGGGGAATTGAGGGATAGTTCCCAAAAAATGTTGAGAGCTGCTGGTACAGGGCAATTTTGGAGAAAATTCTCAAAAGTGTCCTGAAGTGTGGTCTTCTGAGAGAGGTCCTGGCAAAGTGGAATGATAGAGGGATTTTTTTTTTTTTTTTTCCAAAAACAAAAACTCTTTAGAGAACTCAGATGTAAAAAGCATGGGGAAAGGGAGGTCCTGGTGAAGACCTGGGAGCGCCAGAGCAAAAGGTTCTGGGAGTCCAGTTATACTGAGGGAAGTTTAGGTAGGTGTGTTAAGGTTTTTCAACTGGCAGGTTCTAAAGAATTTTGGGGACTTGTGAAGGAGAGATAGCTAGGAAAGTCTCTTAGTGAGGCAGGAAGTCTGAGAAATGATTCAAAGGGTCCTAGGGGTGTCAGGGTTTATGAGAGGGATGTCAAGGGCCATTTGGGGGAGATTCCAAGTGGTTAATGCAGTTTCTGATGTCAGAGGATCCTGCAAACTGCCTCTCTGAGGGGCGTTTCAGGGTTGTAAGGAGGATCTTTGAAGGTTCATCTAAAATGAAGTCTTCAAGGGGAAACTTTCGGATTATCTAAGAAGAGTTCTTGAGAGTAGGGAGACTATGAGAGAAATTTTTGGACTCCTTACACAATTTTTAGAACATGTGGTGTGTGTTGCTGGTAAAGATTTAGGATACATAAAAGGGGATTTGGATGAGGAATACGGGAGGGGCTCTCTGGAGACTACAGGCAATTTCTGGCGATTTTCAGGATTAGTGGGGGAGGGGCCCTCAGAGGAAGATGGCTGGGATACACAAAAGGTGTGATCTCTGGAGCATTTTAAGATGGGAAAGGATATGGGGAACATGAGGTCTCTGGGAGAGATGCCTTGGAGGAGGAGCTCCTCCAAGTGAGTTTCAGGATGTAGGTGCATTTGAAAGACTGTTCTGGAATACAGAGAGCTCTTCAGGGAAGATGGTTCAGGGCTCACCAGGGGCATCCTGATTTGGGGGTTAAGTGTGAAAATCCCTAAGATTTCTGGAATGGGGGTAAGTGGGAGGGCAAATTATTGGGGTGTGTTTAGATGAAGTCTTGAGTGCTGGAATATGCGATGCAGGTCGGGGAAGGGGTGTTCTAGAATGCCGAGGGGGTGTCTGGGGGGTTAGTAGGGAGGTTTCTGGGGGATATACCTGAGACATATATACCACGGGGAGACAGATAAGGAGTGGCCACCGAGGAACGTGTCGCGATCCAGAAGAAAGATTCGGGGGCGGGGGGGCGCACCAAAGGGCGGGGATCTTGGGTAAGGTGCCCGGGGAAGGCGGTTGAGAGGTGAGGATGGTCCCCGCGGATGCCGCTGGAAGCGTGCGGGGGTCGGGCTGAGGTCCCCGGCCCGGCCTCTCGGCGATCCCCGGAACGTGAGGAGCATTTGGGAGGGAAGCTGGGGAAGGGGCCGGGGAAGGGAGATGCGAGCCGGCTGCGCGGTCCCCTGGGGTCCCTCAGGCCCCCAAGGCCGGAGGCCGTCGCCAGCCACACGGGGTCCCTGAGGGGGCGGGGCCGCCCGCGCGGCCTGGGTCGCCCTGAGGGGAGCACCGCGCGCCGCCACCGCCCCGAGCTCGTCCGGCCCAGTCCAAGACTCACCGCTTCGGCCTCCGCCTGTGCCTCCACCGCCGCCCAGGCCTCCTCAGACCGCCGCCACCGCCACCGCCGCCGCCGTCGCCGTCGCCCCTCTCTCTGGCCCGCTAGCTCCCCTCCCTCCTCCCGCACCGACCACCGCCACCACCACCGCCGCCGCCGCCGCCGCCGCCACCGTCGCGCTGCGTCACCGCGCCGTGCGTCACCGCCCCTGTCCCCGCCCCGGAGGCCCACCGCGCACCGGCATTCGCGCACACCCAGATGACGGACAGCGCACTCAGCCAATCGCCTGCGAGGACAGCCCGAAGGGCGGGAGGTGTGCGCTGAGAAAGGAGGGGTCCTGATCCGGAGCGGCGCGACGGGGCAGGAACGAGGCCCGAGAGACCCGCCCCCTCTTCTATGCGATTGGTCGGACGTGGGGCTGACGGGCAAGCGGTCGGGCCTCGCGCAGAGGGCAGAGGGCGGGGAAGAGGAGGGGCGCGCGCGGCGTCGCCCAGGGCAACGGGCCGGCGGAGCCTGCGATTGGGCCTCCAGGCCCGCAGGGGGCAGTCTCGCGCCTGTCTACCTCAGCGGCAGCGAACCCAGTCGCGGCAGCGAACCCAGTCGCAATTCCTCATTCTGTTGTTCAAGGCCTCCTCTTCCTCCCCGCCCACCAGACATGCCCCGCCCAGGGCCTGTGGCCAGTGGTAACCCCCGGGATGCCAAAACCTGCATTCCGGCTCCTGGAGCCAGTTGGCCACGTCTCTTGTGGGACTGATGTGGGCAGCTCGATCATTTAAGGATGGAAAGAGAAAGGGCGAGGCACAAAGGAGATCGTCAATAAATGGAGGTCGTTCCCATTTGTAATCTAGTCAGCCCACAAACTGCCCTGCGTCGGGGGGATCCGCATTGCAGAAGGGTGTCAGCAACGTGGCTGGTTACCAGAACTCGGAGACAAGGCAGTCAGGGTGGGGTGGCGAGTGTAGGACGGGGAGTGGTGGGAAGGGAGCTGGGGCCAGGTGTTTGTCCACTGGAGGGAATTTGCACATGTGCTGAATGGAAGTCATTCTAGAAGGGAGTTTGGGGGCAACGCCTCCGGCTTATATATGGAGAAAAGATAGAAGGGAATGGGACTAGAAACTGGACGTCCAGGGGAGTCACCTGGGGAGTTGGGGTAGGGGTTATATCCAATGGGACCATGGGGAAGGGGAGGAGGTACAAGGTGGGGTTGCCGCCCTGGTGGCCCAAGGAACAAGCCTTTTGCCACTGATGGCCACAGGGGAAGAGGGAGAGAAACGTCCAGGACAAAGCCCTCTGGGAGATTGGATCTCAAAGGAGAAGCCCGGTTTGGGCCACCCAACAGCAAGATCCAGAACATTGAGCAATTTGAGGCTGGAGACCAACGTTCAAGAATTACTAAAGATGGGGGCCGGAGAGATGGCTCAGCGGTTAAGAACACTGGTTGTTCTTGCAGAAGACCCGCGTTCGAATCCCAGCACCCACATCATGGCAGCTAACAACTGTCCATAACTCCAGTCCCAGGGGATCCAACAGCCTCTTCTGTCCTCCTCGTTGTACGACATGGGTGCACTTACCTATACACAGGCAATACATACATACACATAAAATAAAAATAATAAAAATTTTAAAAAAGAATTATTAAAGCTGGTAATTGAAGCTTCGGGAGTTGGTGAACTAACCCAGGGAGGGTATGACAGATGAATGGAGAAAAGGATCAGAGAGAACTCTGAGAAATGAGGATGTATGGTTAAAGAAAAGAAAAAAAAAAAAAAACAACAACACAGAATGAAGATTGAGAGGGGGCACCAAGAGAGAGGAAAAGGACATCTTGAACAGACCCTTGAGGAGAGGGTCAGGGTTGGTAACATCATTGACCCATCTCTGTCTCCTTTGCCTTTGCTTTTGGTTTTGATTTTTTTGAGACAGGATCTAGGTCCAACTGGCCTAGAACTTATCACATACAGCAGACTGGCCTTGAATTTGCTGCAGTCTTTCTGCCTCTGACTCCCAAGTGTGTGGACTACCCTTCAATTTTGTTTTATTTAATTTTATTTTATTATTTTATTTTGTCTTTTTGAGACGGTCTCCCTGTAGCTCTAGCTGACCTGGAACTCACTATGTAGATCAGGCTGGCCTTGAACTCACAAAGATCCACCTGCCTCTGCCTCCCAAGTGCTGGGATCCTTTAATTCTTTTTTAATTTTTATTTTTTACATATGTATGAGTGTCTTCCCTGTATATATGCAATTGTACCAGGGCCATACAATGCCCATGGAGACCAGAAGAGGGTATTGGACCCCCCCTGGAATTGGAATTATGGAAGGTTGTTAGCTACCATGTGAGTGCCAGGAACCAAACCCAGGTCCTCTGTAAGAGCAGCCATCTCTCTAGCCCCTCATTATTTTTTAAAACATGGTCTCATGTAGTAAAGGTATGACTGGAACTTTGTTTTGCTTTAAGATAATGTCTCCCAGCTAGATGTAGTGATTCATGCTTATCCTAACACCTGGAAGGCTGAGACAGGAGGTTACCAAGAGTTTGATGTTAGCCTGAGCCATATATATATATAGAGAGAGAGAGAGAGAGAGAGAGAGAGAGAGAGAGAGAGAGAGTCTAAAGCCAGTCTGGGCTATAGCGTGTGACCTGTTTCAACAATAACAGCAAAATTCCAAGATTTTATGATAAAGTCCAGACTGGTCAGGAAGTCTCCATGTGAGTAGACTGGCTTTGAATTGGAGATCTTCCTGCCCAAGCCTCCAAAGTTCTGGGGTTACCAGCATGCAACACACATGAAGCCCAACTTCCTTGTTTTCCTTCCCTTCCTCCCTCCTTGTCTCAGTTCCTCCTCCTCGTCCTCTTCTTTTTTTTTGCTTTTTTGAGTCAGGGCCTCAGTACAGCCCAGGCAGGCCTTGAATGCTTAATCCTCCTGCCTCCACTTCCCCAGTGCCAATTTTATAGGCATGTGCAAACATGCCTACATTTTTTTTCCAGTGTTGGGATCAAACCAAGGGCCCAGTGAGTGCTAGGCAAGTGCTCTCCCACTGAGAGCAGCATCTCAGTCATGTGACTGCTTTTCTGAGGCTCTCTCAGGCATGAGAAACACACTGTGAGGGATGGAAACAGGAAAGTGGTCACCGCCATAGTCCAGGCTGGAAGTGCAGGTAGGTGATCATACCCAGGAGATTGCCCACAGTCAAGGAGAAGTGGGCATGTTCTGGTTGCATGTTGAAGTTCAAACCTGGTCTTTTTGAGACAGGGTCTCCCTGTAGTCCCAGCTATCCTGGGACTCACTATGTAGATCAGGCTGGCCTTGAACTCACAGAGATCCGCCTGCCTCTGCCTCCCGAGTGCTGGGATTAAAGGTGTGCGCCACCACGCTCGGCTGTTCTTAATTTTTTAAGTTTATGTTATGTGTGCTTGTTTGTATGTGTACCACATGCATGCAGTACCTTTGGAGGCCAGAAGAGGGCATCAGATTCCCTGGAACTGGAGTTACTGGCAGTTGTGAGCTGCCATGGGGTTCTTCACAAGAGCAGCAAGATGACCCACACCTTTAGTCTCAGCACTGGAGAGGCAGAGATAGGCAGATTTCTGTGATCTCAAGATCAGAATCGTCTACGTAGGGAGTTCCATACCGGGTCTACATAGTGAGACTCAGTCTCAAAACAAGTGCTCTTAACCCTCTCTCCAGTCTGTTTTTAATTTTTTCACATTTATTTATTTAGTGCAGGTGTGTGTATACACACGTGTCTCTCCTTCCACCATGTGCATTCCCGGGAGCGAACTCAGGTCATCAGTCTTGGGAGCAAAAACCTTAACCAACTGAGCCAACTCAATGACCCTATTCATTCATTCTTGAGACAGGATCTCTTATAGTCCATATTGACCTCTCATTCTCTATGTAGCTAAGAATGACCTTGTACTCTTGGTCCTCCTTCCTCCACTTCCTGAGTACTAGGATTACAAGCATCCCATTTATGTGGTACTGGGGATCAAACCCAGGGCTTTGTGGGTGCTAGGCAAGCAGTCTACCAACTGTGGTGCATCTCCAGTCCTATTTATTTATTTTTGCTCTTTGGAGACTGTCTTGCTATATAGTCCTGCCTAATCTTGAACTTGCAGCAATCTTACTGCCTCAGCCTCCTGAGTGCTGGTATTACAGGTGTGCGCCACCATGCCTGGAGATGAGGTTTTCCGTTTCTAAAATAGAAGAAATAACCCTGTGTGGAGGCTCTGGGGAAGATCCATCAGGAGACAGGGACAGATTTGGAGGAGGCCAGGAATAGAGGACAGCTTCAGAGATGGCCTGGCTCAGTGGGTGGGATGGAGGGCACAGACAGGGTCTGCTCATTATTAGGGAAGCCAGCACAGAGAGTCAATGGGGCAAGGACCTGGGAAAATTCTCTTTAGTTTGCTTGTCTTGTCTCCCTATAATACATATGGTTTTCTCATAAATTACTTTGCTTTTATGTCTTCTTTCTGTGACAGGTTTATTATATTGATTTTTTTGAATGCATGAGTGTAAATAGGTCATATTACCTAGGAATTTCATTTCAAAATGGAAAGGGAACTATATGAACACTTTGTGTGTGTGTGTGTGTGTGTGCTGGGGATTAAGAGGCCAGGCCCTGTATGTGCTAAACATATGCTCTATCGCTGAGCTAGACTGTTAAACCCTCCAACACTTGTTTGTTTGTTTCCTTTGTCAGATTTGGGTTGTTTTTGTTTTGAGACAGGGTCTCATCTAGCTCAGGCTAACCTCATGTCTTTGAACTCTGGGTCTCCTGTCTTTATCTCCCAAATGGTAGGATCATACATTCATGTCATGTTGCCTGGTGTTCTTTTGATGTTTTCCACACAAGGTTTCACTATGTTTCCAAGGCTGGCCTCAAACTCTCCATCCATCCACCTGTCTGTGCCCCCCTCCCCCCACTGCTAATAGCTACTTTTTTTTTTTTTTTGGTTTTTTTTGAGACAGGGTCTCCTTGTAGCCCCCGCTGTCCTGGAACTCACTATGTAGAACAGGCTAGCCTCGAACTCACAAAGATCTGCCTGCCTCTGCCTCCCAAGTGCTGGGATTAAAGGTGTGTGCCACCACACCCAGCTGTTTTTTTTTTTTTTTAAAGATAGGATCTCACTATATTATGTAGAACAGGCTGACCTGGATCTCACAGAAATCCACCTGCCTCTGCCTCTGGAGTTCTTGGATTAAAGGCATGTGCCACCTTGCGCAGCCACTATTTGCTCTTTATTAAGGCTATCTACCAATTCAGAAGATAGCTGAAGCTATTCTGTCCTCACAGCAATCTCAATTCAGAGAGGTAAACTTACTTAGCTAGGACCATACAGCAAGGTGGTATTTGAACCCTGGTCCTAGTCATTTCAAAGCCTCACAGGCCCTGGCAGAAGTGGGGAAGGAAGGAGGGGGAGGAGCCCTTTGTGACAGTTGTCCCTGACCGGAGCATAAACAGGATGTGGTGTTGGATGAAAGCTTCCCCCTACCACACCCACCCCCTGCAGCCCTGGTCTCCACCCCTAGAAGACAGTGGAACTAAGAGGACGACAGAGGACAGAGAAGCCATGGTTAGGGGGCCAGGGTGGCACTGGAAGGGTGAGGGACTGGGGCTAGCAGGGTATCTGGGTGAAGGTCAGCTGTGGGGGTCAAGGTCATAGACCAGGAAGGGACTCAGTTGAGTCAGAGGGCCTGGCTGGCACAGAGAGGTGGTGGTTTGAGGTTTGGCCCCAGGCAAGGCAATTTCCAGGTTGGCTGGAAGAGTCTCTGGTACCCAGGAGACTGGAATCCCACCTCTGTGTCCCTTCCAGAGTTGAGTCATGTATCTTGGTACCTGCTGTCATCTGAGGTGTTTAAAAAATGCCTCTCATGGCTAGCACAAGCTTCTCCATGCATGGAGAAACTGAGGCAGGGAAGGGGGTGTAGTGGAGGCCAGCTCAGCTCCTTCCTGATCCCATTGGCAGTCGGACTCCCTGGTGGTGTGTGAGGTGGACCCAGAGCTAAAGGAAAAGCTGAGGAAATTCCGCTTCCGAAAAGAGACTGACAACGCAGCCATCATAAGTCGGTGACCTCTGTCCCCACTGAAGGGTTGGGGAGGGGGACAGGCTGGAAGGGCCCAGCTGGTGTTCCCTGGGATGGGAGGGGCATGTAACCTCCCTGTTCCATTTCCATCTCTCTTCAGTGAAGGTGGACAAAGAACGGCAGATGGTGGTGTTGGAGGAAGAATACCAGGTGAGAGGCCCTAAATAAAGTGTCAGATCTGGGAACATAGCTCAGTTGGTAGAGTGCTTGCCTGGGTTGAGATCCCCAGTACCCCGTAAACAGAGTGGGGTGGCACATGCTTGCACTCCTAGCACTGGAGAGGTGGAGGCAGAAGGACCAGGAATTCAAGGTCATCCTCAGCTACATAGTAAGTCCAAGAGCAGCCTGGGCTACATGAGACCCTGTCTCAAAAAGCTAAATAAATGTTGAGGTGTGGTGGAGAGCATCTTAATCCCAGCTCTCAGGAGGCAGAGGCAGGCAGATATCTGTGAGTTCAAGGCCAGCCTGGTCTACATAGTGAGTTCCAGGTCAGTCAGGGTGACATAGAGAGACCCTGTCTCAACAAACAAACAAATAAATGGGGAAAAGGGGCTGGTAGCTCTACAGAGCACATGCCTAGCATGTCAAAAGTTCGGGCTTCCATCCCTGGCTCTTGGGGGATTGGGGTGGCATAGGGGTAGTGTCCATTCCAGATAGATTAGCCAAAAAGCCAGCAGAAACCCTTTATAAATAGATCTACCTCACCCTGTGTGGCCCCACTGCCTGTATCAGGAACATGGAAGTGATAGTAAGCCTTCCTTCCCTCCTTCCTTCCTTATAGGGTTGTGGCTGCTGGGCAGGGGGAAGGGTATTTATTGGCCAGGAGCTGGGGTCCCTTGGGTCCTCTGAAAGGCATAGTGAAGGGGTTTCCATGGGAGCACAGATTAAAATCTGAACTTTGGTACTTACTGTCTAGAGCAACTTGGGGCAAGTGCCTTGACACCCCTGGGCCTCAGTTTGTGTAGCTGACAAATTGGGTATAATAACAAGACCTACCCTACAGGGCTCTGAGAAAACTCAATGAATCGGTTCATCCTTGTTTCTTAGAACTGTGCCTTGGCACATAGTAAATGCTCATTTAATGAATTTAATGATGGTCATTTGTTTTCTGCCACTTCCGTCCCTCCTTCCCTCCCTCCCTTCCTCCCTCCCTCCCTCCCTCCCTCTCTCTCCCTCCCTCCCTGTCTCTCTTAGAATATTTCCCCAGAGGAACTTAAGTTGGAGTTGCCGGAGAGACAGCCCAGGTATCCTGGGGGAAGGAATGTAATGGAGGACGGTGAGGAGGGCTTGATGAGAGATGTACGGAGGGAGGGACTGTCAGGCTCCAGCTCTGTCTATGGTTCAGAATTTCTCAGCTTGAGGCCAAGAAGTCATATTCTAGAACTTTTTGTTGGTATATATTTTTTATTGTAGAATTTCACGCTGATAATTTATATACAATACTGGTTTAGAGTTTCTTTCTAAATTTATTTTTATTTTATGTGTATGATTATTTTGCCTGCATGTATGTATGTATACCACATGCATGCAGTGCCTGCAGAGGCCAGAAGAGGGAGTCAGAGCACCTGAAATTGGAGTTAGGGATGGCTGTTAGATGTTATGTGGGTGCTGAAAAGCTAGCCAGGGTCTCTCAAGAGCAACCAGTGCTTTTAACTGCTGAGTCACCTTTCCAGTCCTGGACTTTTTGTTTTTTTTTTTTTAATATTTTATTTATTATTTTTAGTATGTGAATGCACCCGTGTCATGAGATGCCATGGAGTTCAGAAGAGGCCTTCGAATTCCCCTGGAACTGGAGTTAAGGACGGTTCACAGCCACCATGTGGGTGCTGGGAATCGAACCCAGGTCTTCTGCAAGAGCAGTCAGTGCTCTTAACTGCTGAGCCATCTCTCCAGCCCCGTGTTTTGGACTTTTTGTATAAACTTTGTTAGATTTGGTCTTAGCATTATAGTGATCTCATTTCTTCAATTTATTCTTGGTTTCAGGGCTTTGTTTGGAGTTTTGGTGGTAGTGGTGGGAGTATGTGTGTAAGTGTGTTTGTGTTTGTGTACATGTATTTGTGCATGTGTGTGTATGTGTGTGTTTGTATGTTGTGTTTGTGTATGTGTGTGTGTGCATGTTTGTGTATCCATGAGCGTGTACATGTATGTTTATGTGTGTGTATGTAGTTTTATTTTAGTTTATATAGCCACGGTTAGCCTTGAACTACTGATCCTCCTGTCTCGACTTCCCAAGTGCTGGGATTCCACACAAGTGCCACTACCCCAGGCTTCTTGTTGGGTTTTGTTTTGTTTTTAGGCATGGTCTCACTATGTAGATCAGGCTGTTCTCAACTCCCAGAGATTAAAAATTATGTGCCACTGCATCCAGTGATATTTGGCAATTTTAAAAAAAAGATGTAGGGGCTGGAGAGATGGCTCAGCAGTTAAGAGCACTGACTGCTCTTGCAGAGGATCCGGGTTCAATTCCCAGCACCCACATGGCAGCTACAAACCATCTTTAACTCCAGTTCCAGGGGAATCCAAAGCCCCCTTCTGACCTCCGTGGTATTGTACAACACAGGTGCACTCACATACACAACATGGGTGCACTCACATACATGCAGGCAATACACTCATACACATTAAAAAAAGATGTATTTTATTATTTATTTATTTTTTTTATTTTATGTGTATGCGTGTATTGCCTGCATGTAAGTGCACCCGTGTCGTGCAATGCTGGCGGAGGACAGAAGAGGCTGTCAGATCCCCTGGGACTGGAGTTACAGACAGTTGTTAGCTGCCATGTGGGTTCTGGGATTAAAACTCTGGTCTTCTGCAAGAACAACCAGTGTTCTTAACCGCTAAGCCATCTCTCCAGCCCCTTCTTATTTATTTATGTGTATGTCTGTGTGTCGTATGTGCATGGGTATGCTGGTGCCCATGGAGTCCAGAAAAGGACGTTGAATCTGCTGGTGCTGGAGTTACAAGTGGTTATGAGCCACCTGTTGTGGGTGCTGGGAACTGAACTGCAAAAGCAGCCAGTGCTCTTAACTGCTGTGCCATCTCTCCAGCCTCTCTTGATGTTTTTTTAATTGTTTGCTTTGTTTGTTTTGTTTTGATACAGGGTCTTACTATGTAGACCAGGCTGGCCTCGAACTCAGAGAGATCCATCTGCCTCTGCCTCCTGAGTGCTAGGATTAAAGGCTTGCCTGGCCCTGCAAGATAAAATTGTGGGGTGAGATAGTGCTTGCTTTTGCAGAGGACCTGGGTTCAGTTCCCAGCATCCACATGGCAGCTAATAACTGTCTGTAACTCTAGGTCCAGGGAATCTGACACCCCCTTCTGGCCTCTGCAGGCATTGCATGCATGTGGTGCACTTACATGCATGCAGGCAAAATACTCATACACATAAAATAAAAATAAATAACTCAGCTGGG